TAAACCGTGTAACCCTTGAGAAAGCGCGTGTAGCAGACCTGTACACGAGTACTACACTCAAAAAATGCGGGAAAACAGCGTGTAGTACCTTGATTCCAAGTAGAAACATTACATGAACCTTAAAGTTTTGAAAAAAACTATGCATTCATGTAGTACACTGTGGTTTTTCCCCAGCGCGGAGCGTGTAGTACCAGTTTTGATGAAATTACACCCGAGGCGAAATCCAGCTTTTCCCACAGCGCAGAGCGTGTAGTACTAGTTTTCATGAAATTAGACTGGCGGAAAAATCCAGCTTTTCCTACAGCGCGGAGCATGTGACACCGCAGTTCTACAGGTCAGGGGCTTTCAAGCTTCCTGCAGACTCTGGGGCCTTCAAGCCTTTGTGTTTACAAGGGGAAATGGACTCTGTGTGAATGCAGGAAAATGCCCAAGTAATTGAAGACTGGAAGCCATGCAGGCTGGGGGAGAGGCAGGCAGCAGGTTTTGCAGGCTTGCTGTAGGGTCTGTAGGGGCGGCGTGCGGCAGGGTCTGCAGGTTGCCCGCAGGCGCTGCTGGCCTGCAGGCTGCTGCAGGGTCTGCAGGCTTGCCGACAGCCTACAGACCCTGCAGCTGTAGGCTTGCTGCAGGGGTCTGCAGGCTTGCTGCATCAGGCTGCTGCAGGGCCTGCAGGCTTGCTGCAGAGTCCGCATGCTTGCTGCAGGTCTGCAGGGTCTGCAGGTTGCTGCAGTGTTACATGCAGGGTCTGCAGAACGCAGTAAGCAGCGCAGCCCGACCTTGAGAGCTACCTTGAAATCGCAAGGACTTGGAGCCTGAAGAGCCTGGAAAAGGATGCTTGTCTCCGGTCACAAGCCCTTGCGTGTGCCCCCGAGCCCCCAATGGCAATGTTGGATGCCGAAGGTCGGTCTGACATGACCAACGTGTTGCAACATTGCCATTGGGGAAAGGGGATTTTCGACAACGCTTATTGATTTGGGACAAGGTAGGCCCTTTGCTGGGGGTTTGGAGAATGTGCCTCAAGTGAAGCCAAATCCGACCCCAGAAAGACACAAGAAGCGTAGGACACGTTTGAGTGCCCCCGCAGTTGCAATTCAGCTTGTCATGTGCAATACTTGTTCCGTTATAACGCTATTGCCAACAGTCTTAAGCGACCGCTGATTATCTTTGCGCCCGACCCAAACATGTGGTGCATGCTTTGCGTGTCTCCGCAAAATTGAAAGCACACTTGCCACGTTTCACGGCCCATTCTGGGGTCCTATTTTTGGGCCCCAAAGCGAAGCCCGAAATGGGATCTTCTCTAAGAGTTTCGAATCAGGCAGACCCAGTTTTGGGACCCAATTTCTGGCCTCAAAATGAAGGCCAAAAACTGTGCGATTTCTGATGAGAAGACACACTTTTGAAGCTCGCCGAAATTTTGCCCGACGTGAGGACCGCTCCCGACATAAGACAATAAAAATGCACCGCTGCGTGGCAAGCGGTCGGTGGTGGGCCTGTACTTATTCATATAGGCGCCATTCAGGTTGCCACTGGGGGGGTACTCTGATGCGTCCTATGTTTCTCGTCGTTTGTCGGTCCTGAATGTGGACCCGCGCGATACCACGTTTTTCAGCGATTTTTCCAACGGGCAGCCCGCAAAAGTTGGAAAAAAGGCTCTGGGAGGTCCTGATGAGGTTTTGGAGCCCTTGAAGGGGATTGTGAGGCCTTACTTGAGTATTTGAAAGACTGGTAAACCGTATAACCCTTGAGAAAGCGCGTGTAGCAGACCTGTACACGAGTACTACACTCAAAAAATGCGGGAAAACAGCGTGTAGTACCTTGATTCCAAGTAGAAACATTACATGAACCTTAAAGTTTTGAAAAAACTATGCATTCATGTAGTACACTGTGGTTTTTCCCCAGCGCGGAGCGTGTAGTACCAGTTTTGATGAAATTACACCCGAGGCGAAATCCAGCTTTTCCCACAGTGCGGAGCGTGTAGTACTAGTTTTCATGAAATTAGACTGGCGGAAAAATCCAGCTTTTCCTACAGCGCGGAGCATGTGACACCTGGTTTTTAATTTGCAGTTCTACAGGTCAGGGGCTTTCAAGCTTCCTGCAGACTCTGGGGCCTTCAAGCCTTTGTGTTTACAAGGGGAAATGGACTCTGTGTGAATGCAGGAAAATGCCCAAGTAATTGAAGACTGGAAGCCATGCGGGCTGGGGGAGAGGCAGGCAGCAGGTTTTGCAGGCTTGCTGTAGGGTCTGTAGGGGCGGCGTGCGGCAGGGTCTGCAGGTTGCCCGCAGGCGCTGCTGGCCTGCAGGCTGCTGCAGGGTCTGCAGGCTTGCCGACAGCCTACAGACCCTGCAGCTGTAGGCTTGCTGCAGGGGTCTGCAGGCTTGCTGCATCAGGCTGCTGCAGGGCCTGCAGGCTTGCTGCAGAGTCCGCATGCTTGCTGCAGGTCTGCAGGGTCTGCAGGTTGCTGCAGTGTTACACGCAGGGTCTGCAGAACGCAGTAAGCAGCGCAGCCCGACCTTGAGAGCTACCTTGAAATCGCAAGGACTTGGAGCCTGAAGAGCCTGGAAAAGGATGCTTGTCTGTGCCCCCGAGCCCCCAATGGCAATGTTGGATGCCGAAGGTTGGTCTGACATGACCAACGTGTTGCAACATTGCCATTGGGGAAAGGGGATTTTCGACAACACTTATTGATTTGGGACAAGGTAGGCCCTTTGCTGGGGGTTTGGAGAATGTGCCTCAAGTGAAGCCAAATCCGACCCCAGAAAGACGCAAGAAGCGTAGGACACGTTTGAGTGCCCCCGCAGTACAATCACTGTGCCTCGAGCCAAATCTGCCCCTCAGAAACTCTTTCGCACGGATGCAAAGGAGGGCTCGGAGATGTAGTTGGGAGGTTGGGTCTGCAGTGATGCTTCAACGCCTTGGGGGTGCAGGTGGTTTGCTAAGAAAGTCCAGCATACTGACGCTCCTTGGCTGGCCAGTCATACCGCTCCATCGCTGCACTAGAACTTTTGTCGACGTTGGTTGCTGTCCATTTGTTTGCACCTTTGCAGCCGACGAGCGCGACTTTTTACCTGCTCTGCCGACAGACAATCGCGGCAACAGTTTCTTGACATTACGGCTCACTACTTCCTTTCCTTTGTGCGTGGTGCTCATGATTTGGCGGCTAGCATGATTTCTGGCGCCGAACTTTACACTGAGCTTGCATCTTGGAAGAAGCGAAAGGGTGGCATTTTGCCACAGAAGAAATCAAAGGCAGAGAAGCTGGCTGCAACCGACCTGTGGAAATGATGTGCGTTGCTGCTCGTCATTCTTGCGAAAGGGAGGCGTGTTCAGGTTGCGAGCTGCAACTTGTTTGTATGTCACGTACAGCTGCTCCCTTGTAGCACGTTGAGTTAGTTCTCTTGGGAAAACTCCTGCCATTGAGTTTTACCTGTTGGGACACACAACCTGCGGAGTGTGTTTCATGTTGTGTGTATTCTTGATTTTGGGTGCATTTATTCCAAAATCACGTTTTATGGGTCTTTGCATAAACAAGGGTGGTGGTTTTGCTTACTGCACCACCTAAAATGCTTGAAGATTGCGGGGGCTCCGCGCATGTTCAAGCTGGTTTTTAATGCACCACCTAAAATGCTTGAAGATTGCGGGGGGTCCGCGCATGTTCAAGCTTGCTGGCAGCAGAGAAAAATTTGTTGCCCACCCACCCATCCCTGGGGCGTGTTCAGGTTGCGAGCTGCAACTTGTTTGTATGTGGCGGTATGTCACGTACAGCTGCTCCCTTCTCACACAACTGCACGTTTTGTGATTCGCGGCAAAAATGGTCGGTGCGTGTGCCTTTGCTTGTCACGGACAGTCATGACAGTCATGTCCTTGGCACGTTCTGTTGGGTCGGCTTTTGGTTCTTTCTTGGCTTTCTTGTAGCGCGTTGAGTTCTCTTGGGAAAACTCCTGCCATTGAGTTTTACCTGTTGGGACACACAACCTCGAAACACGCTTTGTTTCCTACTAGAGGTTTGGTCAGTTTAGCATGAAGCGCTCAGCGGCGATGGCCCATTTCCATGAACGGCCCACCAGAGAGTACCATATCATTTACGAAACTACCGGCGTCTATGTGACAGTGCATGAGTCGGACACCGTGCTCAGCATCAAAGATATCCTGGCCGAGATGTTGTCGTTGGGTCGTCGCAGAATCAGCACTGATCAATTCTTTCTGGCTCAGCACAGATGGCTGCTGCACCCAGACATGCCGGTTCGGGATCTTCCCACCCAGCATCCCGTGGAGATTCAACACAATCCGTCCCGATGGCGTGCTGCAGCCAGAGACAGGCTCAGCCGGCCGCTCGCGTCGAGTAGAATCACCTCAAAACGTCGAGTGTGGCGGTATGCTGAGTTTTAGGTCTGTTGTTGTGCAGCCCTGCCAGATCGCCTTCAGGAGCTCCTGAGAAATCCCGAATGAAAAGTGTGATGGATCTTTTCGCTTAAAAGCAGCACGAACGTAGTAGAACATCCTCATCATTTGGGAGTCTTGCGAAACCGGTAATGCAGACGGGCGAGTCGTCGCCTCGACCCGGAATAGGAAGAGCGATGTTGAGTGAAAGAGCTATTCAAGTTCTGCCAGATCGCCTGCCCGAAAATGGTAGGACGGCTCCGACATTTAACTGTCGGACATGACCTGTTTACCTGCATCGCAAAAAGAAGGCAGTTCAGACTGGTCCTTGCAGTGAGTTTCAACGAAGCCGAGTGTAACCTTCGAACCCGCAACCCGAAACCCGAAACCTGAATTCGCGCGGAAAGACACCGCCCTCGACTGCGCAGACGCATGGAAGCATCGGCCGTCATCAGCTCTGGGCTCACAGACGTAGTTGAAGTGCTTCCGGAAGAGCTCACAGCAACTATGCATGCAAGGCGGTCTTGTTCCGAAGATAACACACTTCAAACTTACACTTTTACGTATTCGGGTAAACCCTTGCGCGACACGCAGACCTTCGCCTCTAAGAAGTCTTTTCTTGGCCATGGCTGCGCAAGATTATCGACGTGCCGGTCTGCCAGCTCCCGTGGTCGACTTCGGCATTTACAAGGCTACGATGTTCTGGCGAAACGAGAAGAGCAATCGTTCGCTGGGCAAGATGGCTGAGCGATACACTGTCTGGCTGAAGCTGGAGGATGACACGATCGTCGAGGACGTCATCGATTGGCGAGCAGCCGGCGCGGGCCGCAACTGTTACTTCTTCCGAGATCATCCTCTCGCACTGAAACTCTTCGTAGATGACACGCAGCAGTGGAATCATAACCAGATAGAACAGGAAGCCTGGTGTGAATGGCTGCCGCGGCTGCCGCAGCATCTGTCTCCCTTTTTTGGCCGGTAGGTGACGTGGGGAATGTGTCATGACGGGGAAAAGCATCGGCTGGAAGCTGGGTCCTACCCTGAGGACAGTCTTGACTGACATCAGTGACGACGTAGAGGATCCTATCATGGAATACGTCAATGAGCGGACAATGAAAGGCAAGTTCGGAAACATTTCTTGGAGGTTGTCTGTGCCTGCAAACGTGCCTTTCACGCTGGCCTGACGTTCTACGCCAACCTGCACATGGACAAAATTTGCCTGGACGAGGTTACCCAGCAGTGGATCTTTATTGATCTGGAGATATTCCAAAAGGTGCCTCCTCACTTCACGTTTCGGATAGCGTTGCAAACAGCCGCGAAGTTCCTACTCCGGCGGACGTCTCTTCGCTTCACCCCGAGAGCCTTCCAGGTGTTCCGGAGCTTGGCGGCAGAGCACATTCAGGGCGAATCGACAGACATGGACATCGTATCTCTCCGAGCCAAGCTGGACGAGGCCAACGCCGTAGATGCCACGCACGGCGTCGCTGGAACTACCGACTCGGAATGGGAAGGCGTTCCAGCGACTGCCCAGGAGAGGCTGTCCGCGGGCTGCATCCTTGCTGCGCAGGCTCGGCCGTACGTTTTGCCTTCATGCGCGCGTATTGTCCAGAGTGCTTGCATTATGTTTCGTTTGGATGTTTTGTAACAAGTTTGTTAGGCTCTGCCCCTTGTGTTGACTTTTTTGTTTTCTGTTCTTTTCTGTTTTTGTGTTCGATTGCGAGGATCCAAGAACTACTTCGATGGGTTCCTACATTGACCGTGCCGACGACCTTCCCCCATGGTCGGTTGTCGACCTTGTCGACCGTGCAGGTACAGATGACCTCCCCCCATGGGCAGAAAGCAGCCGTGCCAACATCCCACGCGCAGGTACACATGACTCCCCCCCCCCATGGGCGGAAAGCAGCCGTGCGCCGCGGACACTCGCTGCGTCTACCGACCCGGATTGGGATGACATCCCCCCATGGCACCGACCCGGAATGGGGAGGAGATCCAGCGGTGGCGAGTAGCACCTATTTTGTGCAGGACTGCCCATAAGGGCCCGAGTCATGGTCGCGAATTAGGGAAGCTCTGGCGCACGCGACTTTGCAAAGACAAAAGCTTACTGCTGCGCTTGTTGCTTCGCTTGGCAGACATATCGCAAACCTTGCAGTTGAGATTTCGACTTGGCTTCAAACTTTCGCCTCCGGTTGTGCTTGCTGCTCGCGTAACCTGACAGGTCTCTTCCGCTCGCCGAGAGGATGACGGACGGCTAACATGCCCGCGACTTTGCAAACACAAGAGCTTACGGCTGTGCTTCTTGCTTCAGTTTGCATGCGCATCAGCAGCTCTGGGCTCAGAAACGTGGTCACACTGTATACGCAAAGAATATATTTGTTATTGAATGCTTCGACGCCATGTCCAGGAATCTTCCAGATTCGTTGCTCGGAAGCATGACTGGCGCACTGGGCAATCACGATGTCATCGACGAATTCTCCGTTGCCATGAGAGATCTCGACCAGCACGACCAGCGACACCTCGCGGAGATCGTTGCACCGAATGTTCTGCGCCGACAGCTGACAAACGAACATGGTGCTCGGGCCCCCGTGACTGACAGGCAAGAGTACCTCATGATCACGGTGAGTTTTCTTCAGTTGGCTGCGCGAGCACGAACGATGTCACCGCCGGAGGACACGAACTTCAACGATGTGGGCAGCAAGGTCCGGGTGCTCCGAGCTGCAGCAGATGCGCTGGAATACGCAGGGACCACCAGCGCGGACGTCAGCGGCGATCCTGCTGCTGCTGCTGCTGCTGCCACAGCGTCGCTCGACCAACCTGAGCCCGACCCAGTGCCGCTCATGGCCGAAGCCCCCCCGGCCAGCGTATCTTGTACTGAGAAGCGCAAGAGAAATCCCCACTGAAAAGCGTGATAGACCTCCTATCGCCTAAGAGCATCTCAAACGACCGGCTAGTCGCCTCGACCCGGATTGGGAAGAGGGATGACGGCCTGTCTCTGGTGAGTGTACAGGGCTTGTACCTGAGCAGCGACTGATCGGATCGGCCTCTATTCAAGACGGCGGTCGCCTTAGTGTCTGTGTGTGCGTGTGCATCGTTGCGTGTGCGAGTGCGCGGCTGTATTTCTGTGTGCTTCTGGACAGAGCAGACACAAAGAGATGAAGAGATACAGAGAGAGAGAGAGAGAGAGAGAGAGAGAGAGAGAGAGAGAGAGAGAGAGAGAGAGATAGATAGAGAAAGAGAGAGTTGCTGTCGCTAGGAGCTTCGGGTTTAAGATAAGTTAATAGATAATAGTGCTCCAGGGCTTCATCAACGACAACACCCAACACCAGGCAAACCACCCGGTGACGGCCTCAGGTCTTCCAACGTCGAGTTCAATTGCGGATTGCGCGGCTCCGAGAACTATTTCGACGGGTAGCTACCTTGATCAGTGCCAGCATCCCACGCGAGTGGAGTGTGAGTGCTTAGATGTTGGCCGTGCAGGTACAGATGATCTCCCCGCATGGGCGGAAAGCGGCCTTGCACCGCCGACACTCGCTGTATCTGCCGACCCGGATTGGGAAGGAGATCAAGCGCTTGCTCAGGAGACGCACTCGGCGACTAGCGTCGCCCCTTCATTTAACAAAGATCGGCAGCTACATTGGTTCTGCGACCTGGGGTCGCGCCTCACCAATGTACGACTGACACACATGTTACTTGTGCAATTATTCTTGACGCGTCACTCTTTACTTTCGCGCGGTTTCGCGCTCGCACTCTCGCACACACACTCACACTCACGCACTCACACTCACGCACTCACTCATGGCCACACACACACTCACTCCATCGCTCTCTCACTCTCACTTCTGTAGTCTTTCTGAATGCAAAACTTTGCATGTGGGGTTATCCGGTCCTTTAATTTTTTTGAAGCCGTGCAGAGCGTGCTTCAAAGCCCAAGAGGTGTTTGCAAGTGGGGGGGCTGCGCCCCCCCCCCCAACCCCCCCCGCTTCTTTTCAGCCGTACCAAGCGTGCTTCAAAGCCCAAGAAACGAAGGAAATGACAGGATATCTGTCCAAAATGTAAGGAAAATAGGGTTTTCCCCGTAGGAAAAACCAAGCAAAACCTAAGGGAAATTACAGGAAATCCGTCCAAAATGTAAAAAAAAATAGTTTTTCCCTATGAAAAACCAACGAAAACCTAAGGGAAATGACAGAAAATCCGTCCAAAATGTAAGGAAAGTAGGGTTTTTGCGAGAGAAAACCAAGAAAATCGACCAAGAAAAAAGGCCCCCCCCAAAAAAACAGAATACCAAAAAAAAACTCCACCCTTTCGGGTGGGTGACGGTAGAAACGGTGTCTTTGTCTCGGCAGATGTGCTGGACTTGTCGTATGCTGCCTGTTCGACGCCTTTGCTACCGCCGGCCCTGGCACCCGGACAATTGTCGACGACAGCTCTGGCCGAGATGCAGGCCAGAACTACAGTGCCGTGTCCACAGCGGCCACTTGTGTTCCGACGTGTTTTTTTCAGGTTAAGTGAGGATGATGTGCATGCCGTGGTGAAAGAGGTGGCGACATGGCAATCCAGCTTTGCTGAGTTTTTTCGTCTCTGCCTCTGCATGTCTGTCTGCGTACGTTGCCAGGACGGCCAAGACGCCCTGGACTTTCCTCGCTCGTTTGTCGGTGTTTGTGTCAGTCTGACAACTTTCGTAGCCATCGTTTTTATATCCGAGATAGAAGCCAGCCAGCGCATGAAAGAGGTGGTGAAGCCAGGGTTTTGCCAGGGGGCAGGACTTGATTTGCAATGAAAAGAGCCTCAGGGATAGTTGACAATGCAATACCGAGGCCCGTGCAATTCCCAGGCCTTCTCGATTTCTCCTATCCAGGAATCCCTTCCTGCTTGATGAGTGTCCGTGTACGTGAGTCTGCGCATCATGTGCGCGATCGCAGATACTGGCGAAGCACAATACTGGAAGGATGGAGGTGGAACACGTGTTGCGTGTCGTGCATCGTCAGGCTCGGTGGATTGGCCATAGTCGATGTGCCACCCACCCTTATTGGCCGCTTTGGGACAGTGTTGTTCGACCGTGCGATCTGATGATGATCTTACGAAGCGCTCGGTCAAGTTGGCCATGTCCTTGACTTCCAGATTCCAGTTCGATTCGGCCGGATTTACGAAGGTTGGCCGAGGTTCAACCCGTGACGGCTGACTGCTGGTTGTCAGACAACGGCTGATGATTGCGAAGCCCGGGGCGTGCAGTGGCTGCTGAGTTAGCATGTGCTCTTCCATTTGTCTTTGTGTGTCGACGCCCAAAACTCCACAACCCAAACCGAAAACCCGCATCCGTTGTGGGTCAAGGGCCAGGATGTGCGATGAGCAACTTCGTACTTCGAACACCTCATGAATCCGATGGTCAGGTTCTTTCTTATCCTGAGGTACAAGTAAACTCTGAAGCAAAAGCTTGGGGGCTGTAAAAAGCACGCAGCGGAACATGAGAACCACGGTTTACCAGAGTCCTTATGATTAGCCTCTTCATCAGCATGCCGCCTTCTTTCACAGCGGCCAGCAGGTGGCCCATGATGCTGCGACCATTGGGTGTATTCCTGCTGTCGAGCTTCCTGTGCCAACCTGGGGCAGTCTGGATGCGACTTGAGCCTATAATCCCCGCACGCAGGCACCACAGCGCCGTCATAAACAAATCGGTGATGTGGGTGCTTGGTGGGTATGGCGGCGATTACTTGACTGATCTTTGGTCTATCAACCTTGAGGACGGAGATTTTCGGTGGACACCAGCCAACGTCTCGAGCTTCCCCGCTTTAAGCATCGAGCGTCACACAGCTGTTTTGACATCGGCAGGGGTGATGTGGGTCTTTGGCGGCGGTGGGCTTTGGTCCATCAACCTTGCCGCCCAAACCTTGGCTTGGGAGAGAGCTTGGGAGGCCTTGCCAGGCCGCCCTGGCCTGAGCCCAAGCGAGCGCAAGGCTCACACGGCGGTTCTCACGGCCTCGAATGTGATGTGGGTTTTTGGTGGCTGGGGCTGGGACGGCCAGGGCCAGGCTTATCTGAGTGATCTGTGGTCCATCGATTTGGAGGCAGGAGCTCTAGTTTGGTTGCAGGCTTCTTCATCGAACAGTCCCAGCGGTCGCGGGGACCACACGGCCGTCCTCACTTCGGGGAACGTGATGTGGGTGTTTGGTGGCAAGACTGCAAACGGAACTGTCAACGACCTGCTGTCCGTCAACCTGGACCCTCAGGGGTACTTAGACATGATTTTTAATCTTTGGTTGCTATAATCCCTAAGAGACAGCTAAAGTGGTAATCTTTGCTAGGGGTCTAAGTTCAGCATAGAACCCTAAAGTAAACCCTAAACCCTTAACCCGATAGGCCTTATACCCTAAACCCTGAACCCCTAAACCCCTAAACTCTGCACTCTAGTTCTTTTTGTATAGGAGCATCAATCGCCTTTGTCCTGGGATGCTGCGGACTCGTCGATCACGGAGCTCGGCCCGAGTAGCCGAGGTGGCTCCAAAGCAGTCATCACAGCGGCTGGAGTGATGCTGCGCTCATGTTAAGGGATTTAGTTTAAGGTACCAGAAATCTGGATCTATAGTAGCAAAAAACATGGTGAGCATAATGCCATAACAGGCATCTATAGTAAATAATAGGGCTTCCTTACTATGGCAGCAACCCCCCTAAACCCTAACCCCAAATCGATGAATAACCCAGGATGTGGATCTTTGGCGGCCACGACGGCAGCCGTGTATCGGACGATCTCTGGTTCATCGACCTCGAGGCCACGAACCTGCTTCTGGGCTCTTGTTACAGGAACTTAGGGTTTAGGGTTTAGGGTTTAAGGCTTAGTCTAAGTTACCAAAACAAGGAAACCCTACTGTTTGCTGTAGATCCCTACTGTGGCATTATGGTAACCATATTATCTACTATAGAGACTTATTTATGGTATTACGGTAGCCAGATGATTTACTATAGATCTTTTTCATGGTAACTAAAGTAAATTCCTTAACAAGAGCCCAGGTTTTGGACGAAAGCCTCTTCGGCCTCACCGGCTCCTCGCGAAGGGCACAGTGTTGCCCTGGCCCCCTCCGGGATGATGCTGGGCGCTTGTTGAGGGTTTTTTTGGCTACCATAAATGGGGGGGGTCTATAGTAAGTAGGGTCTGATTGTTATGGTAACTGAAATTGAACTCCTGTAAAACAAGAGCCCAGGATGTGGCTCTTTGGTGGCTATGACGGCAGCTCTTACCTGAATGATCTCCGTTCTGCGAACCTTCTCGAGGCACCTGTCGAAGTAAATGAGGTGGGAGTGTCCGAAAATAGGGGACCCTAATATAGTACCCTAAGTAGTAGGATCCTGATTATGAGGACCCCAGAACAAGGTACCCCTAAAATTTTCGGAAACTCCCAGGTGGTCAATGAGACGAATTGGACGCTGGTGCTGAAGATCGGGAGCCAAAGTGACACGCTTGGCTTCTCATCCGGGCTCTGGACCAATACTGAACTCTTGAACACTGACTCACCAGTCGAAGAGCAAGCTGATGCCAAGTATGACTCCTACCTTTCCGAGCCCTTCACCACAATTCGCATGTGCGTTGGAAGTCCTACTGGTGCATGTGTGACACACAACTTCCGACAGGGATTCCGCAGTGCCCGCGAGCTGTTCTCCGCCGGTTACATCCGAGACGAGTCGGTGTATCGAGATGGTATACTGGATGCCTTTGGAGTTCCTGTGGGCTCCTACCAGGCCTGTCCAATGCAAAGACCTGGGTTCAACATTGAGTGTGTGGACGGCAACAAAGCGCGTTGGGGCTTCTGCCTCAACTGTGTGAGCCAGACGTGCCAGAACGATGACAGTGATGATGCCGATGCTGCCATTGGGATTGGCCTTGCGGGTCAAGCAACTTCTTCCGAGATTGGAGCTGGTTGGACATCTCATTTTGCTGCTGCGGCCGGCTCGTGCATGGACAATATTCCGACATACAGAAGTGTATGGCTTTGGGTGAGGCGCGCTGCCGTGGTGGCAGTTCCGATTCCATGGACAGCACCAGTGATCGATGTCAGCGCGCTTCCCCCTGCTCGCGAGTTGTCCAGCTCTGTCGTTACTGCCTCCGGGGTGATGTGGATCTTCGGCGGGGCGGGTGATCCTGACCTACTCAACGATTTGTGGTACAGACACCTTCAGGTGCCGCACTCTGTTTGGGTGCAGGTCACTACACTCCACAGACCCAGCGCCCGAACAGGGCACAGCGCTGTGGTTTCACCTGCCGGCCTGATGTGGGTCTTCGGTGGGGGCGGTGGCTGGTTCAGGGAGACTGATGGTTTTAGGCTGAACGATCTGTGGCACATCGATCTCGAGTCTCCATCCCCAAGCTGGACGGAGGTCAATGTGCCAATAGCGCCCAGCGCTCGCTATCGCCATACGGCCGTGCTCAGTTCGGGGAGGATGTGGGTGTTCGGTGGGCTCGAAATCACTTACTACCTGAATGATCTTTGGTCCATGGACCTCACGGACCTCACGGACCTGGAGGCTTTGCGGTGGGCAGAGGCATCCACCTTCGGAGAGCCTGAAGGCCGAGCCTCCCACACAGCCGTCATTTTGGACGGAGTGATGTGGGTTCACGGTGGCTACACTGCCGGCCAGGGGGCTGACTCCGCAATCAGCGAACTCTGGTCCATCGACCTGGAGGCTCGACCTCTGGTTTGGTCGGAGGTTCCAAGTGACAGCCTCCTGGCGCGTGCCGGTCACAGAGGCGTTGTCACAAATGGAGCCCTGTGGTTCTTTGGAGGGGCCACGGCTTACTGGGAAAGACATGAGGAGATGTCTTGCATTGATCTTGAGGCTGTCCCCCCACGTCAGGGCATCTTGTCCGTGCCCAAGGGGCCAGATGCTCGCTGGCAACCAGAATCGGTGGTCACAGCTGGACTCTTTGTGGTTTTTGGGGGATATGTGAATGGGCCAGACAATGATCTGTGGACCCTCAACATTGCCTCCAGCACTTGCACTTGGGCCACACAGGAGAGGCCGGGGATGTGGACGAGAACCAGCCTACTTCCTCGTCCAAGCAGTCGTAATGCACACGGCGCCGCTCTCGGGCCGAATGCTTCGATGTGGATCTTTGGCGGGTGGGACGGCAGTACCGTTGGGGATCTTTGGTCTCTTGGCCTCGAGGATTCGCCCGAGGCGCCCATGGAGTGGATGCAGGCTTCGGTCAGCAGTCCGGGATCCTTCTACAACCCAGTCACTGTCGTAACGGAGAATCTCTTGTGGCTCTTTGGTGGGTATGGTGATGGTCCACACTGCGGTGGGTGGAGCAACCAACTCTACTCGATTGATCTCTCAGCCTCTTCACTGGCTTGGACAGATCACGGAGGCTACGGGTATCCACGCAACAAACACAGCGGCGTCGTCACATCGACCGGAGTGATGTGGGTGTTCGGCGGTAACTTGTGCCGCGAGTATTATTCCACCGACGATGTCGGACATTTCATCTCTATCGACCTACGGGCCCAGGTCTTGAGCTACGCCAGCCACTCTAGCTACAACGAGCCATCTTGGCGAAAGGAGCACAGCGCTGTTGTCACAGCAGCCGGCGTGATGTGGCTGTTCGGCGGGGACGATGAGAGCACTAGATTGTCCGACCTGTATTCCATCGACCTCAACGCTTCGCCCCTCGTTTGGGCAGAATACGTATTGGCGGGCCCTGCGGCACGCAGTGGACATAGTGCTGCTCTCAGAGGTGGTGAGATGTGGATCTTCGGTGGGCAAGCCAAGGACGGCAGTTACTATAATGTCCCATGGTTCATCGATGTCGAGGCCACTACGCTGATGTGGGTGGAGGTCTTGTCGAGTGGGTCGAATGCCGCGGATGTCCCAGTAGGGCGCCACCGCACGAGCACCGTCATCGCTGCAGGTGCTCTCTGGGTGCTCGGTGGCTGGGGTGCGGGTGGTTTGCTGGATGAGCTCTGGTCCATGCAGACTGAGAGCACCACCACCAGCACGACAAGCTCTTCCAGCTCGACGACAAGTACCCACTACACCCCTTGCCCGGCTGGAAGCTACAAGATCATCTCAGATGCTCCCTGCGAGCCATGCCCCATCGGAAAGTTCAACAATGAAACAGGGGCACTTTCACTGGATGCATGCCAAGACTGCCCAGTGGGTTCCATAACAAGAGACGAAGGAGCGAATCACGTGGATCTCTGTGTCCGCCCACTGGGCACACACAGCCTGGAGTGTGTTTCTGGCCAGGTCTGTGCTGTGAGCCTCAATGGATTCAGCTTGCAAGATGGCCACCAACTGGCGATGCTTTCATCTGGCTGTGCTGGCACGGCGCTTCAAGTACCAAACGTGCCCGATTCAGGGGTATCCAAGACAGCGACCCAGGAGGGACGCTTGTATGTGTGGGGGGAGGCTTCCACAGATTTCACCCCCGAAGGCGGCTTTTACAGCCTCTGCTGGTGTCCGAACATGCACGAACGGATGTGTGCAGAGTTGCAAGATTTTCAGTTCTCAGCCGGGCAGCTCAAGGTGTCCGGACCCCTGAGCAATCATTTCTTCCAATGTGCCCGTGGACAAGATTGCAAAGCTCTAGGGCCGGTACAAGGGGTGGATCTTTCCACGCAGGACCAGGCGGGAGTTTCCAAAGGGGGCCCCCTAACATAGTGCCCTAAATAGCAACACATAGTAGTATCCTGTTACCCTGTTTATATAATTTCCGGAAACTCCCAGGTCTCAATTCGATCTGACTTCTGCGGATCTGCAGGCCGTGCAGGCAGCGCCATTGCGGTTTCTCCTGCCAACAAACAGGGAATGGCGCGTCTGGAGGTAGTTGATGAGCCCTTTGCCGGTCTTGCACTTTCCTTTGGCAGCTCCCGTCTGCAAGAAGGCATCGACCATCGCCTATTCTTGGATGCTGACGTGATTGCATACAATCTCTGCTGGTGTGGCTTAGATAGCTGTTTGTTAGAAGACTATGTTGTTCCACTTGGCAGCCTGCAAGTGGACGGACCACGTGCAAACCAAGAAGTGAGTTGTTCAGTTGGACAACTGTGTTCATTGAGGAACATCCAGTCTGTGCGTGCTCATGCAGGTGACAGGGTCATGGTCTTGACTGCCTGTGGCACTGGATTCTCTGTACCAGGCTTCTCGGGCAGCGGTATTGCGGAACTTAACACCGATGATTCCGACGATGCGTTTTTTGAGTTTCTGGACAGCTCCAACACCTTGCAGATCTTGCAGTCTCCGGTTGGGATTTTCCGGCTTTGTTTCTGCCGGCCTAAACCCGAGCCGGATTCGGAGGCATGTGAGACGCCCACCAGCTTCGCAGCGCCCGTGGGCCTCATGGTGGTGAAGGGACCCTTCGATCAGACCACGGCTTGTAGCGCAGGGCAGCCTTGTGCACTCTCGTTGACAGGCATGGCGTTGACGCATCAAGACAAGTTGCTCCTGACACCTCATGCCTGTGATTCACCTGAAGTCACTGATCTCAGCCTAGCCGTTGGCCTGCCTGGCTACGACGCACTCCAACAGCCACTGAGCCTGGAAGAAGTTGGCAGGCGTTTGGAAGCCTCCCTTGGAAAGCTTCCTCTGGAGACCCGGCCCGGTGTCTACCACGCATGCTGGTGCGGAGCAGGCTCAGCCTGCACCTCATCATCTTCCTTCCGTGCCGCAGCGGGCACGCTGAGTGTGAACTGCCCTGGGGGTTATTTCTACGCTGCAGAACACAGTCCATGCCGCCTGTGCGGCCGAGGGTTCTACTGCCCCGGCGGCAGCCGAAGCGTCGCCGCCAGAGTGCCATGCCCAGACGGCGAGACCACCCTCTCCGCCAACTCGTCCTCGCGCGGCGACTGCGTCTGCGCGCGTGGCCATCAGTTCTCTTCTGGCACATGCGTTGTCTGCGAGAGAGGGTTCTACAAAGCTGATGAAGGTAGTTCGGCATGCTCGCCCTGCCCTGCAAACTTCACAACGTACCTGGTGGGTTCCATCTCCAACTCCTCTTGCATCACACTTGAAGCTCTATCAGCTGAAATAGCTGCCCCCGATGAGACTGTATCAAGCATTGCCACGGTCGCCTTCGATCTGTCTCTTCGGATTGTTTCGGGTGATGTGAGTGATCTGTCAGACAGCGAATTGCGCATGCAGTTGATCTCAACACTTCGTCGGAGCATCTCCACGTCAACTCGGATGCCCGCTGAGGCCATCGATGTCACCTTGGCGGCTTCAGCTGCACGGCGTCTGTCTCAGATCAGCTTCATCAGCATCGCCCTGAAGTACCCCTCCCAGTTGCTTGCAAGTCAGTCAGCGGAGGAGCTGGAGGTGGACACGATTCTCGATGGTGTCGGCGTCGACTTGCAGTCCAACTTGGGCTTAGCAGGCTTAGCATTCGAGGTGGAAGCGATCTCACAGCTTACTGTGTCCTCGTCGAACGTCACTTGTCCACCGAACGAAGTCAAACCACCAGGAGCTACTGTGTTGCAGGCCAGCGATTGCATATGCAGGCCCGGCTATGGTTACGATGCTGCTTTTCAGGGCCTGGAAGGGGCTTGTATTCCCTGCGCCTTGGGAGAGTATAAGCCAACCGTAGGTGACAGTGCCTGTGTCAAGTGCGACCCATTGAAATCCACTCTCTTGCCTGGCGCCTCGTCGCCGAATCAGTGCAAGTGTCAGGCAGGGCTGTATGACGAGGCTGGCCAGTGTGGACCTTGCGAGGTTGGCAGCTTCTGCGATGGATCCGGAGTCGCAAAGGCCTGCAAAGCAAACTCCACCACGACAGCCGCAGGATCGCGCTCAAGTCAGGACTGCATCTGCGAGCTTGGGCACCAGTACAAGGCCTCAGACGAATCGTGCGAACCATGTCCGAGAGCATTCTACAAGGCCAACCTTGGGAACGCTTTCTGCTCATCCAAGTGCCCTGCCAATGCAGACAGCAACCCCAGTGCGTCCTCACTAGCCGATTGTTTCTGTATAGCTGCTCACCATGCCATCCTAGACGGTAGCGGCAACCTAGACCGCTGTGCCTCCTGTGGTTTTTACAACGGCTTGGAATGCCCGGGCGGCTTCGAGCAGGGACTCCACGCCCAGCCCCGGGCAGAGGAGGGCTTCTTCCGCACTGGGCCAACAAATGCAGTGAGGTGCTTGGCCCGCCAGGCGAATGGATCAAGCGTCTGCCGGGGGGGCATCCGGGGTTTTCCCAACGAGTGCGCCGAAGGATCAGCCGGCCACCTGTGCGGCGAATGCCCGGAGTCCTTTGCACGTGGAAGGTACCTCGAGCCTTGTGAACCCTGCTTCGGACACAGCTCTGCCCTGCTGGGCCTTAGCATCTTGGCAGAATTGGCAAGGATGACCGTGTTGAACTTTGGTATGGCCTGGATTTCAGCACGCGCAGCTGGAACGACCTTGGTCTTGCATTCAATTATGATTCGACTTGTCTTGCATTGGAGACACTCCTGCTCGATCCTTGAGGGATTTGACTCTTAGTAGCTGAGTGAGTACGCTTTACACGTTTGGTGATAGTATTGGTCTATTTAGATCTGAAAGTGTACACTTTGTGGGCCTTATGAACTCAGCAACTAAGGAATTGCAACACTTAGTGGCTTTTCCTTGGTCACAGAGACCGGCCAATGACATGAGCAACTGTGCTGGTGCTCAGTGCCAACTTCTCAACTTCCCCTTTCCCCCCGAGGTGGCAGACCTGATGAGCGGCTTGTTTTCGCTGATGAACATCATTCCCTCTGTCAATGTGGAGTATGCCGTGGCATGTGAGGCCGACGCATGGTTTCCAGGGAATGCAGGAGCCAAAAGACTTGTGCCAGCTGTATATCACTTGTGCCTTCCTTTGCTTTCGGCTATCGCCACCCTGCTTTTCTGCGCTGCTTTGGCGTACATTGTTGTCCCCGTGGGCAGCAAGTGCGGGATTTTCTTCAACGACGCCGCCCGCAAGCGGCAGAGGTGCAGATCCCTTGCAGAACGTCTCGCGGCGGTCATCAAGGCAGAAGCTTCTGCTGGCCATTCACGGCTTTCAGACTACCTGCGCTCGATATCTGCAGAAAGTCTGGAAGAAGAGTACTGGGAGGTTCCATACGAAGTCATTGCCGGAAGCATCACAGACTCGCAGCTGCAAGCAGCTGCGAATGGCAACCTGAACGACCAGGTGCCCAGAGACTCCAACACACCCTAAGGAAGGAATATTCCCTTAAATCATATGAGGGATCCTGTTACAATTTAAGGGTCTATTCCTTGATTAAGGGATACTGGAGTCCCCTAAGCCAAAAAAACCCTATAGATCCCTCATAGATCCTTTAAAGGAACCCTTTAAGTATTCCTTGATTAAAGGGATATTGGAGTCTCCAGGTGCTGCAGCGCCTTGTCGCTGGAACCCTAGCATGGAAGCTGCGAGGACACTTCGAGGAAGAGGCGAAGATGCAAGGCTGGGTTGGTTGTTAAGGAATAGAAGAGTTACCACAATGGGGATCTATAGTAATTCATCTGGTTTGCTTATGATAGTAAGTTTGATCCTTCAACAAGAACCCAGAAGGCCTGCCGGTGATCGATGTTGCCGTGGTTGTGGCCGGCATTACTCAATCCAGCCTGGAGCTCCGGGCTACACTCGAAGATGCCGACGCATGTAATGCGCTGATGCAAGAGGTGTGCCAAAAGTTGAAGCGTGAGCCAACTCCAAGCAAAGATGCGACAGAGCTTGACTTTGCATTCTTCACTCAACGTCCGGGGCCCTGCCAGCTGCTACATCAAAGTATGCCAGCGATCTGGTTGACGCAGATGGCGCTTTGGCCGAGTTTACTGTCCAAGCTCCTGCAACACATCCGCTGCTCACCAATGGTCGAAGAACGCGCCGGGGAGGTGGTCTATGTGCAGCGCCTGCTCCCGCATCCGGATGTGGTGTGTTGGGAAGCAGACCACCGTGCCTTGGCTGCCGTTGCTGTTGCCGGACTGGCCGCCTGGTGTATTGGTCTTCCTTTCGGGCTCTTCCTCAAGATCTGGAGGCTTCAAGACCGACAGGATCCCAACAGCTACAGGAAGTACGGATTCTTTTTTCAAGGGCTCGAGCCGCAGTACTGGTACTGGGACCTCATCGTCAAGAGGGTGGACCTGTTGCTGATGCTGCTTGTCGCAAACACCTCACTGGCGGACGATGACAATGCCAAGCTGGTACTCTTTCCGTTGATCTCAGGTTTGCTTCTCGGTGTGACCACATGGGTGAAGCCCTACACGAACAGCCAGTCTGAGATCTTGGATCTTATGGAGTTTATCCTGCTGACAACCCGCTTCGTCCTGTTCTCTACCCTTGCCTCGCTTCTGATTTTCTTTCCATCTGCAGAAGCTGTTTCTTTGTCATAGTTGGCTAACATGTTTCATTCTTATGGGTACTTAACCCCAATAAAGAATGAGAACTTGCGTTTCTAATGGCCATCCCAACAATGAACGAGGTTTGGGTTTGGGCCGTCTCCCTGTTGGCGATGCTTGTTCTGACAGTCCTGTACTCGTCCTTGCACATCATGGTGCAGGTGGTGCGGAATGCTGCGTCTCAGATCCTACAGGAGCACGAGGGTAAGCAAGTCCATCAGGAGGAGTTCCAGCTACGTAGCACCTTCAGACCCAACGTCTTTGACAGAGTTGTCGGTGCTGCCCAGAAGCTCAGGGAGACCTTGCTGCTGTTCATCCTCCCCTTCTTCCAGCCCAACGAGCGTCTACTCTATACGTGGTCCTTGTACATGCAGCACCCGAAAATGATCACGACAGGTGAATTGTCCCTTCGTCGCAGTTGTCTGGCAAAAGTGCTGCGATTAGACCTTGCAACACAGCAGGACGCCGCCAGGAAATCATATCATGAGTTTGTGGACACTTGGGGGTCTCATTTTGAAGGGCGGGAGGTTTTGAACTTCGATATTCTGTGTGCTCTCACTGCGTCAGCTCGGACGCTGCCTGCGACAATCTCCAATTCTAAGCTGGGCGGCGTGTGGATTAAGGAGCTCAAGGGTCTGTCAAGCAAGAGTGCCGACGAGTGGAGGCTGTCAGTCGATGACCTCCAAACTACAGTGCAACGGTTTGGAGCACTTCCGAGCAACAGTGCCCGCGAGTTGATGAGCTATGCCCAGGACCTGGTCGAAACTGCGCTACAGGTTGCTTGGTGTTCTTCTGGTTGGCTCTTAGGACTTTAACCTATATTGACGAAAGTAAGGAGGCCAACAATTTAATTCAGCCCAGGTTCAGTTGGATCAAGGCTTCTGCTCGGCAGACGATCTCTCGCCATTGCACGAGGGCTCCGAGGACCCTGGCACCTCAAAGTTATCAAAGCCTCCTGAGGATCCTGAGTCTGAGTCTCAAAGCATGTCCATGGTCGTGAAGTTGCCCTCAGAGGAATCGTTCGTGGAGATGTAATTCCGCGGGTCTGCCTCCATTTGTAAGAGGGCTTGGAAAAGAAGTCGGAGTACTCGAAGTACTGCTAGGTGCGTCTATGTACTTAGCATGCCCAGTGTGGGACTCAAGGAAGCTCGAATCAGGTTCGACGGTTCGAGGGAGTTGGCATGCTCTTTCCCACTTATCTAGGCGGTACACATCAATGTCATACTCCAGTTAGAAATGATTTGAACTGCTAACGACGCATGGCTAGTATTGAAACGCCTGGCCAATGTCTGACTGAGCTTTTGCTCTCAGGCCACAGGCGTGTGCGCAAGTCTTGGGCGCGCACAGCCGCAGCAATGTCGAAGTTCCTACCATGTTGGTCTTTCCCAGCTAGTGTCAAGATGTAGATCATGGCGACGCTGTGAGAGAACCTGTATTGATGCTACTTACACGTGTCGGGAACTGCGTATTCAAGAACGAAGACGTGAAGAACGTGAAGTCTGAAATCCCTGCCAGCACCAAGTGGCGTTCCAAGGTATGTGTCTTGTCTGGCCGGTTACTTACATGTAAGCATTTAAGTGCATCCCGTAACCTGGACCAAATGCCTTAACTCTGAATCACTACCAGACTTCATGTCAGTCTCTACCAGTTTTCTGAATGCACTTGTCAGATTTTGTCGGCGTCAGCCAGTGGGACGGCATCCACAGCAGA